TGTATGGTCAGGAGTCAAACAATAACCAGTATGGATGGTCAGGAGTCGAACATGAATCAGTCTAGATGGTCAGAAGTCAAACATCAGCCAGTCGGGATTGGAGTCCTCCATCTCTGCTTCTGTCTTGAAGCATTTTTTGTGTAGATGGAGTGGTGGCTTCAGTTAGTGAAAACCAAAGCTGTAATCTGTAAATCAAGACAGGTATGCATTAGAAGCTCTACGTGACTGCAGCCAGTCATGACCTTCACATGACAAGCCCCATCAGCCGTTGTGCAGTCGGTCCAACAGACCCACGGGCCTCCACCTGGTTTGGATGAAGGTGACCACTGAAGGGAACAAAGTGTGCCTTTATTTTAACTGATCTTGTCACATTTCCAGTTTGTCCTCACGCTGATCTTCTACATTTTGTTCATTTCTCCTCCAGTAAGAACGAGTAGAAACCACGTGTTTGTCAGAAGAAACTTCTTGTTGAAGAAACGTTGTTCATCAGACAATTCATGCAACAAAATCATAATTTTTTTATTTCATAAAGGAGGAGAATCTCAGTGATCCTGTTCAAATTAATAATTACTCTGCCTGCCACCTTTCATGGCTGAGTTTCAATTCAAGATGGCCGCCTCATCCATGTGTTAGTGGTACGGCTTGAGGATGACTCTCAACTACTACCATCTATATTTTTTAAGTCTGGGACTCAGGAGGAGGAGTTCCTGAGTGATGTGAGGATGGTGCACGACCTCGTCCTCAGTAATGAGGATGTTGTTTCGGTCGGTAGGGTGAAGAAAGAGTGGAGTCTTAGGTCGAAGGTCTGGATCTACAGGTCTGTCTACAGTCCAACCCTCAGCTGTGCTCATGAGGTTCGGATCAGGACTGACAGAACCAGGTCCTGGACCCAAGTAGCTGTAAAGAGCTAGAGATGGGAGGAGGAGCGAGGAGTAGAGCTGATGCTCCTCATCTAAAGGAGTCAGCTGAGGAGGTTCATCTGATCACGATGCCTCCTGGTAGGAGGCCCTGGGTCCGACCCAGAACTCTCTGGTCTGGGAACACCTCGGGGTCTCCCAGGAGGAGCAGGACAGAGGGAGGTCTGGGTTTCTCTCCTGGATATCCTTGACCCTCCTACAGGTGTGCTGAAGAAGGAGGTGGAGCTAACCTCTAACAGAAATGTGTAAAAGCATGTTCTTGTTTTCTGCATGTAAAACTTGTAGGACTCTTTGGGGGGGGCTTGGTTCTTGTTCTAACGGGTTCTGTGTCTGGTCCTCTGTGCAGCGACCATGAAGAACCACAACGGCAGCCGTCTGCCTCTGGGAGGGAACGGCCAGAACCTGGACACTGCCGGCTTTTCTGAAGGAGACCTGCTGCTCCAGGTAGGAGTCAGACACTCACCTGTTCTTCCTGCAGAGATCCAGGCTGGTCCAAACAGGTTCTGACGGGTCCTGTTTGGACCAGCTCCACTAATCTGTAGATCAAAAAGATTTTATTTTGAAAGGGAAGTAACCAAAATAAACTGATGTAAACCTTCAAATCAACTGAAACAGTGTCTCTGTTACGTTTAGCTGTTGTCTCTTCCTTTACAGCTGCAGAGCTTTTTCTGTTGATCTCCCTCTGCCCGTCAGACGAGCCCCCCCCCCCCCCCCCACACACACACACACACTTTAAAAACTCTTTAAAAACACATTTTTACTTCCTGGATTTTAGCACACACTGAATTTGTTCAGCACTGTTTTTATTGATCTTCATGTTTTAACAACTGTTTTAATTTTTATGTGTTTAAACTTTCTTGACTTTATGTGTACAGCACTTTGTTGCAGCTGTGGTTGTTTTAAATGGGTTTATAAAGAAAGTATTATTGTTGTTGTTGTTGTTGTTGTTGTTGTTGTTGTTGTTGTTGTTGTTATTATTTTCATTATTATTATTTTTATTATTACTACCTCCAGGAGCTTGTTTGTCCGGTCACTAATAATGTCTTTCAAAGTAAAAGACTCCTGTAGTTTAAAAATACAAGCATGAACAGGACACAGGATATGACGACGGGACACTTTCAAAATAAAACAGTCAATGTTTAAAAAATGAAGGACTGCTGAAATTTACTGAACAAGTTGGTAAAGCTAAACAGCTAAAAGTAGCTAAAGACTAGCTAAAAGCTGAACAAAGTAAAAGCTAAAAAATTGCAAAAGAGTAGCTAAAAGCTAAAAGTAAGACTAGCTTAAAGTATCAAAAGGCTTGTTAAAAGTAACCAAAAACTAGATAAAAGCTAAAAGAAGTCAAATAAATTGGCTAAAAGCTAAAACTAGCATAAGTCTAGTTAAAAGCTATTTTTATTTGTTTTATTTTACATTTATTTAACCTGGAAAAGGGCAGCACGGTGGTGCAACTGGTAGAGCTGCTGCCTCTCAGCGAGCAGGTCCCTGGTTCAAACCCCGGTCCAGGGGCCTTTCTGGGTGGAGTTTGCATGTTCTCTCCGTGCATGCGTGGGTTTTCTCCGGGTACTCCAGTTTCCTCCCACAGACCAAAAACATGCATGTTAGACTGATTGGTAACTCTGAATTGTCTCTAGGTGTGAGTGAGAGAGTGAATGGTTGTTTGTCTCGTTTGTCTCTATGTGTCCCTGTGATGGACTGGAGACCTGTCCAGGGTGTCCCCCGCCCCTCGCACAGTGATTGCTGGACATGGGCACCGGTGACCCCCGTGACCATCTGATCTAAAGATGATGCAGAAAAACTGGTCCATGCATTTGTCACGTCTAGACTGGACCATTGCAATGGTTTATTATCTGGGTGTCTCACTCGCTGACTGTCTGTCTCCCTACAGGCCCTGAACGGGTTTGTGTTGGTGGTTACCTCTGAAGGTTTGGTGTTCTACGTCTCGCCGACCGTCCAGGACTACTTGGGCTTCCATCAGGTCAGACTCCTGCTTTTGTGTCCAAATTAAACACGAGCCGAAGAATTGTTTCAGTTCCTCCTCAAACACAGGTCATGATGTTTATCTGTCCGACTGAGATGGAAGTCCCTGAACCTCTCATGCACCATGGTAACAACAGCTTTTCAAAATAAAGGTTGGATAAATCAGACTTTCTTTGAATTAATCTGTTCTTAACTGATAAACAACAAACATCAACAGATAACATGTAAACAGCTAAATAACAACTCGTAACTGACAACAAATTAACGTAAATAACAACAGATAAACAACAACACACAAGCAACACATAAGCAACAACAGATAACACGTAAACAACAACATGTGTAAACAACAACACGTAAACAACAACAAACAGCAATGCCTGTCATTATCCTTCAGAAGTTCAGCCAAACGGCAGAAGGTGTCGGACCAAAAACTGGTTCCACTGAACCTCCGAGGTTCAGGATGAGGAACTGCTGATTGATCTTCACCAGGAGGTTCTACTGCTCTGGAGCCTACAAGTGTGTGTTGGCACAACACCAAGGAGGAAAGACATCAGCAATGACCTTGGAGAAGCAGCCTGGGAAGGGTCAAAGTCATTCAGAGTCCATCGTTCTACAGAGAGCATTTCAGGCTGCAGGTTCACCATCATCTACACCATTTGTGTCAAACTCAAGGCCCGGGGCCAAATGTGGCCCTCGTTGACATCTGGCCCCCAAGATGATATGTGGAACATCAAATACTTCTATCTCTTGAATTTTTTTAGTAATCTTTGATTATGATGTCGAAAGCACAACAGAGAGCATCAAATGAGACCAATCAAGCTCTTGTTGAGGAACCTGCAGCCAAGAGAAGATGCTGAGTATCTGGTTTGAGTTCATGTAGATTCTGAAACTGGCCCTTAGTTTGAAAACGTTTTAATTTTGGCTCCTGTTGTGAGTTTGACACCCCTGATCTAGAGGAACCACAAAACCTCTGGACTAAGACCAGACATGAGGACATATGTTTACCCAGAATGCACTGTATCAAACAGCTCCTCCCATCTGTCAGCACGGTGGTGGAGGGCTAATGGTTTGGGCTCTTTAATGGACCAGAACCTTGTTTGCAGACCAAAGGGTTCTGGAGTCAGATGAGTCCGTCAGTCCAACAGCTGAAGTCTAGACCAAACTGGGTCCAACAGGACCATGATGTCAAACGCAGCATCCGACCGATCTACAACAGAACAGGTCAAAAGTAACAGAACCAAGGTGCTGCAACGGTCCAGTCCAGGTGTACGACCTCAGCCTGGCTGAAACACTGCTGGACCTTCAGAGAACAGGATCAGGACTATGTGGAGGACTTTGTTAGAAATAAATTCTGTGTGGAACATGTCCGGTGTAGTTCATGTCTAAACCTGAATTAGGCTGTTTCCTTGTAGGGCTGGGCGATGCAATGGACATGTCAGAGGACCAGACTGAACTTTTTTACATTTTTCTACCTGGATTATTGAGCAGCATCAGGATGTTTATTGAATGTACTCCACGTGTCACGAGTTTTACCATTTACGGTGGTTGAAGTGGCTCTATCGCAACCATCGAGTATTATTAGACTTGAAACAGTTCTTTTTCTCCCGTCTGCGCCCCCTCCTCCTCCCACTCTGAACACAAACAGCACCTCACCCGCGCGCTCCCCCCGCTTCCTGCTTGTCCATTTGGGGGGGAGTTAACACAACACGTAAACACGAGAGATGTATGAAGAGCAGCTGCTGCTGAACAGAAATAAAAACAATGACTGTTATTTGGAGATGGTTTGGATTTAAACGGTCAGATGAGCAGCAGACAGATGTTTCCTGTAGACAGTGCAGGAAACCAGTCCCGACAAAAGGTCAGAACTACGATTCTTTTCCACCATTTAAAACAGCTCTGTAAGTGAAGTTGTAAGCTGCTGCTCCGACTGTGTTTTCAGCCTCCTTCCCTGAGACAAACCACGGTACAAAACCCGTTCAGCCGTTCTGAGCCTTATGAGAAGAACAGTGAGAGGTGGTGCAACATTAATAAAGCAGCAGCTTATCATATGGATAAAGACATGGTCCCAGTCTCACTTGTGGAACAAGACAGCTAAAGTTAGCCATCTTGTTAGCCGTTAAGGACCGTGTCTAGCAATATGATAAGCTGCTGCTTTATATGTCACAGTACTGCTCACTGTAAGATTTGAAAATCTGTGTAGTTCTTCTTTTTCTGCCAACTTCACGCGGCCCCTCCTTCCCTCACTGAATACAAACGGCCCCTCACTGCTGCTTTTTTCATCCAACCTTTATTTCTACAGGTTGATGTCATTGAGCTTCGAGGACTCATTTACAGAGAGACCTGATTCAGGCAGACAAAAGTAGATGAGGAAAAGAGAAACACGTGGGGAGGGGAGGTAAAAAAGAATATCTTGCACAATGTCCTGACCGGGGCACAGTGTGACAGTTGCTAACAATGACCTCACACGTATTCAGCAACATACTAATGACATAATCATTTATGCATGAGGAGGTCAGGAGGTCATGCTCAGATCAGCCTGATTTGTGCCAACCTTCAGGGGGAGCAGAGCAGAGCTTCTTGTTCATAAACCTCCAGGAGAAATTGGAGGTAGTTGGCCTATTCAAGGCCAAGCAGGGAAGCCACATTCAGGTAACATTTGTTTGGGACAGGCCGACTCTGCTTGATTCTTTGTCTGCCTTCATGGTTCTGCTGCTCCGTCTCAGTGGCGACTCCAAACAGCCAAATTTAGTGGTCACTCCGCCAGGCCGTGCTTGTAGCCTTCTCCAAGGTCGATTCATTCATGCCAGCGAGTTCCAGGAATCACAAGTGGCCTGCGATTCTAAACAAATGTGTCCACATGAGGGCTTAGCTCACAAAGCATCCGAGTGCGAGTCCTCAAAGCACGGCACATTCCATAAATATCGTACATCGCGTTTTATCTTAAAAATATTGATATTAATTTTGGTCCATATCACCCAGCCTTAGTTCCTTGTTACTTTGAGTTTTGGGTCTGTCCTGCATGTCCAGCTTTGTCATATGTCCCTGCAGTCGGATGTGATCCACCAGAGCGTGTTGGAGCTGATCCACACCGACGACCGAGCCCTGTTCAGAGAGCAGCTCCACTTTGCTCTCAACCCTCAGCCGGTTCCTCTGGATGCAGAACGTAAGTACAGCTCAACTGGGCTGAACGTGTAAGGACTGATGGGGACATGTCTGTGTCCCAAACACTTGGTCTGTCCACCAGGGACAGCTGGTTCACCTGAGAAGTTAAGGAGGAATGTTAGCTAAAAGCTAACAGTAGCAAGAGACTATCTAGAAAAATGTAAAATTAGCTGAAAGTAGCTAAAGATTAACTAAAGCTAAACTTATCAAAGACCTGACAAAAACTAAAGGTATCTAAAGAGTCGCTAAAAGGAGCAGCATGTTTAGGATAACTTTTGAGTTTTTAGTCCCCACCTGGTTTTCAGTCTATGCCTGGTTTATTGTCTCCACCTGGTTTTTGAGTCGCCGCCTGGTTTTCCAGTTTCACAGAGCTGTGGAAGTGCTGTGACCTACAGCCCTGAGCAGCTTCCTCCGGACAACTCGTCTTTTCTGGAGCGGAGCTTCGTTTGTCGCCTTCGCTGCCTCCTGGATAACTCCTCTGGATTCCTGGTGAGGCTGGACTTGTTTTCTTGAAGCAAACTTTGAAAGAAGACCAGAAAACCAGGATCTGACGTACCTTCTTTTCTCAAATAGGCTCTGAAGTTCCAGGGGCGACTGAAGTACCTCCATGGCCAGAGTCCTTCGAGGGACAACGGAGCGTCTGGCAGGGTCCAGCTGGCTCTGTTTGCCGTGGCGGTGCCCGTCCAGCCTCCGTCCATCGTGGAGATCAGAGCCAAGCTGCTCCTCTTCCAAACCAAACACAAGCTGGACTTCACCCCGCTGGGCGTCAACGACAGGTTCTGCCTTCTTAGATTCATTGCCCAGTCCTCACCTGAGACTGGCTGCAGAGCCAGAACCAGGTTTGGGTGGTTTTTGATTCCAGGTCTCCTCTTGCTGTTGTTGTAGGGGGAAGATCATTCTGGGTTACTCAGAGACCGAGTTGTGCATGAAGGGCTCCGGATACCAGTTCATCCACGCTGCTGATATGATGTACTGCGCCGACAACCACATCCGCAGTACGTTTACTGTGCACGCTCACGGTTTACTGTGCACGCTCACGCAGCTAGGAAACATTCAGTCACGGTGCCATGAAAACATCGTCCACAGCTGCCTGAACATTCCTGAATCTTCTGTGTTCACCGGTTCTCTGCCGTACGTTTTTCAGTTCGTTCCTCAGTTTCAACAAGTCGTGTCTCAAAACGTTCGGCTCCTTCACGACGTTCCTGCTCAGACTTCTGGTGTTTGTGCAGCTTTTACGTTTTTTAGCTTTGTCGGCCATGTTTTCTCACTGAAAATGACTGGAGCTCTCCACATCCTTCAAACACTTTGCTGAATTCTGCTTTTTCTTCACATTTTCCTGTTTCCTGAAGCGTCAGCTGTTCACATTCAGCGCACATGAACCGTTCAGACGTGCAACTTTTTATCAGAAATCCTTCACGCTGCATTTGTCTGGTTATTGTTTGAAAGGCGTCATTATTGGTCAACCCCCCCCCCCCCCCCCAGGTCACTCCTCTAAGATGTCGAAAAACTGACAAACACCACTGATGCAATCAAATTGTCAAACCCAGTGTTAGAACTGGAATATTACCTTTAAAGGTTTTTACACAATCACTCTTTAGCTTTTATGATTCATCTGAAGATTTTTATTCAGATTCAGAAAATGTATTTGTTATACACACCCGATGTGGTACATGAGGTGGAACGAGATTATGTTCACAGGGTCCCAGTTACATCCAACAAAAAAATGTAAAATAAAAACAGTAATAACATCTAATATATGAACTAAGAAAAACATCAACTAAATATACACTAAACACTGATAACATAAAACATTACGCCGAACAGCAGCACGAACATGAGTCTGTGTGAGCAGATGAGCACGCATGAACACAGCAACATAAAACAGATCAGCAGCAACATAAAACAGATCAGCAGCAACACAAAACTGATCAGGAGCAACACGAAACTGATCAGCAGCAACATGAAACGGATCAGCAGCAACATGAAACTGATCAGCAGCAACATGAAACTGATCAGCAGCAACACGAAACAGATCAGGAGCAACATGAAACGGATCAGGAGCAACATGAAATGGATCAGCAGCAACATGAAACAGATCAGCAGCAACATGAAACTGATCAGCAGCAACACAAAACTGATCAGGAGCAACACGAAACTGATCAGGAGCAACATGAAACAGATCAGCAGCAACATGAAACAGATCAGCAGTAACATGAAACAGATCAGCAGCAACATGAAACGGGTCAGCAGCAACATGAAATGGATCAGGAGCAACACGAAACGGATCAGGAACACGAAACGGATCAGGAGCAACATGAAACGGATCAGCAGCAACATGAAACAGATCAGCAGCAACATGAAACAGATCAGCAGCAACATGATGTGATTTTTCAGTGATTATTCTAGTTAGAGATTCATGATTCATGAGTCTAACAGCCTCAGGTTATGATTCATTTGAAGATTTTACCACAGTGATTCCCTGAGGTCACTCACCTTGGCAGGGTGCTGGTCTCTTTGGGGGTTTTGTCGACAGAGACCTTGTCTTATGTTGCTTGCTAGTTTAGAGCTACGTTAGTGCCGGCAGTTGTCGACGGGGGGGTGGGGGGAGAAGATAATAACGGAAAAGGAAACACTGACAAAATGTCTGACACAGAGATGATATCTTGCTTAAACCTTTGAGTTTCAACTTTTCGAGATGGGGTAGAGGCAGGCCAGTGGACTTGGGATCAGAAAGTTGAATACAATCAATAAATAATAACTTAAAATTGATCAGCAACATTTTAACTCAGGAGTGTTAAATAAAACAATTTGTGCTGATTTTTTAAAATCAGAATGAGGAAGTCAGGATTAATGGCTACAATGAGCACTTCTTGCAGTGCACGGCTGTTTGAAGCGGAGTTTGAAACCTGATCCTGCAGCTCTCAGCTCCTGCTCAATGTTTAGCTGGACCTGGACTTGGTCTTCAGAGCAACAACAGCAGAGAAGTCACAAAGAGCGCAAGAGCGAGCGGGTCCACGGGAACGCACATGCACACAAGAGAAGAACCGACAAGTTGTTTAATGACATAAAATATATTTTGTTAGCAAACAATAGAGTCCTAACATTTATTAAACATTACGTCTGTATTTACAAAAAAATACAAATCTAAATTGTTCTTTGACAAACTCATGGATAAAACTAAAACATTTTGTAAAGACAAAATAGGAAAGAGGGGGCAGGTGTTGCTCTCGCTTTGAGTTTACTCTTTGTTGTATGTGTCTGTGAGTGACGTCCAGAGCGTCATAAAAACAGCAGCGGAGGTGTCAGAGTTTTTTATTGATGTCTCAGCAGCGGAGGGGAGCGACACGGTTCAGGCATGGCTCCTAAAACACCAAGACAGTCATATTTGTTCATAACTTCATTATTACAAAGTCTGAGAGCTGCGGGATCAGAGCGAATAGTTGCCAAACGCACCCTGACAAAATAAGAATGGTGCAACAAAACAAATTACTCCCTGCTGCAAAATGTTCCCCGGGGTCACACGCACTCCGCCTGGCATCGCTCCGGGCATCGCTTTTGCTAACAAACCTTCCTTTTTTCATTATTTCACACTTTTTACACACATTATATATTGTTATTATTATATATTATATGTATTAAAATGTCAACATTTCAGTTTATCGTGGGCGGCTGTGGCTGAGTTGCAAGAGCAGTCGTCCTACAATGGGAGAGTTGGAAGTTTGATTCCACCAGCATTCACATGTTGAAGTGTCACTGGGCAAGACACAGAACCTCTCATTGACTCTGTGTGTCCCATCGGTGTATGAATGTGTGTGTGTATTAAAGTGCTGTATGAATGTGTGTGTAGTAGAGTCCTGTATGAATGTTTGTGTAGTAGAGTGCTGTATGAATGTGTGTGTAGTAGAGTCCTGTATGAATGTGTGTGTGTGTAGTAGAGTGCTGTATGAATGTGTGTATTAAAGTACTGTATGAATGTGTGTTGTAGAGTACTGTATGAATGTGTGTTGTACAGCGCTGTATGAATGTGTATGTTTAGTAGAGAGCTGTATGAATGTGTTTTGTAGAGTGCTGTATGAATGTGTGTGTATTAGAGTCCTGTATGAATGTGTGTGTGTAGTAGAGTGCTGTATGAATGTGTGTATTAAAGTACTGTATGAATGTGTGTTGTAGAGTACTGTATGAATGTGTGTTGTAGAGTACTGTTTGAATGTGTGTTGTAGAGCGCTGTATGAATGTGTGTGTTTAGTAGAGAGCTGTATGAATGTGTTTTGTAGAGTGCTGTATGAATGTGTGTGTAGTAGGGTGCTGTATGAATGTGTGTGTGTGTAGTAAAGTGCTGTATGAATGTGTGTGTGTAGTAGTGCTGAATGAATGTGTGTGTAGTAGAGTGCTGTTTGAATGTTTGTGTAGTAGAGCGCTTTATGAATGTTTGTGTAGTAGAGCACTGTTTGAATGTTTGTGTAGTAGATCGCTGTATGAATGTGTGTGTAGTAGAGTGCCGTATGAATGTGTGTGTGTAGTAGAGTGC